TTGCTCGAAATGAAAAAAAGTTAATTCTATTATCTAAAAGAGAATAGTTTTTAAAATTTCGTATGTAATATAGTGGTTTATTTTTCTTAAGAGAACTGAATGCTCTTGAAATACGAAACTTTTATTTTATTGTATCATTTTCTCACTATTTTCTGGAACCGATAATAATGGAATACATCGTCAAACTAGAATCGATCAAGAGAAAATAGATTTTTCGACTAGTTACTAATAGGTTTGAGCACCAAGTACTCTTTTGTCATTCAAGTTTCCGTAAAAAAACTAGATCTCTAATCACTACGATATTCTTTTTACAAACTATCTTTTCTTTTGATGAAATCTCACGGCAAATCTATCGAATGCTATCTTTTGTATAACAAAAAAAAAAAGCCGACCTCTTCAAGTAAAATTCAATGAACTCTACTAATCGTAAATAGTAAATTTTATATAATTATGAACGATGAAACTATTAAACTTCTTGCCATGTTTTTATTCATAATCATGTACTTTTTAGAAAGTTTTTGACATTAGTGTCAGATTTTTAATTAATTAGGACATGCAGTAAATCAGAACTTGAACTTCTATGTTTCTTAAAAGTCTTTTTGGATAGAAAATCTAGAAACAGTTTATTTTTCATTGAATCCTAGTTTAAAAATACATGTCGGGGTATAGAGTTCAATGCTGATCATGATTATTTGATTGCTTCAAAGTTCTTGAACCTCAATTGATAATATATTTTTGAAAGAAAAAGAGAACTATAAAATCCTAAGCGAATATTATTTTGAGATTATTGTTTAAAGTTAGACATATTTTATACTGGAGACTTATTGAAATATTAAATTGTTTCATAAAAAAAAATGTTCAATTTTCGCTTCCGCCAAAATATTTCTCATTTTTTGAGAATTCATAACGACTAGTAGTGATTTGAAATAGTTCAACTCAAATCAAAGAAACATCAATGATATTTTCATTTATAATAAACGTTTCGAGAAATTAACTTTTTTTAATTCGTGGAATGTAGATATGAGATTGCTAGAAAAAATAACTTTTATTGTGCCCGAATATGTTTACAATCTCAATAACCAATGTTCAGTTTATTGTGTATCTGATCATTGAAGATTAAGTTTACAAGAAAACGCTTGTTAATCAAAAGAATATTTTTGAGTCATTAGTTACCTTATTTTTTTTTTCGTCGAGATTCGTAGAGTTATAAAGGGGGCACTCTCTCAGAAAGTCCAATTTTTTGGACACGAGTTGAAATTGAAGTTTTATCATAGAAAGATGCATCGAAGTCTCCTCTTTCAGAATATCTATAGTTTATCAAAAAATGAATTGATTTTGACCGACTTATTGTCTAAAATGTGGCTCCTACTAGCATATTTTTCGAGAAATTTTCAGGTTTTTCGTCTTTGTAAGCTGCTTTCTCTTTGCATCAGTATTTTATGCAGTTTTTTTTTCTTTAGTAATTTCTAAGAGAGTATGAATATTTAATATTAAGATCATAAATTTATAGCCTGTCTTGAACGTTGATATATAAATCACGTAATTTTCGGAAAACAACGATTTCTAACGCTTATTTTCCGTTTTTCTCAAAATCGAGTTTTTCGAGAATACCGCTTACGCGGGGGGAAGGAGTTTTTAATAATGACTCAGTAAACAAGCAATATTTTTTTTTTTCATACATAGAAGAGAATTAGGGTTAGATCCTCACAATATTTGATTTTTGAATTTCTCTTTCGATAAAAAACTAGTACAGCTCATTTTTGTTAGCAGCTTTTTTGGGCATGATTTCTTTAATTTTACGAAAAAAGATATTTGGAAAAACCAAAAAAGGGAAATTCAAAAATTGGACTCTGGAAGGATCTAGCCGTAAGGATACTGTACAAAAAGTAAATCGTCCGAGGCCTGTTAGCTCGTAACCTTATTGCGAAATCCTTACCCACTTAAAAAGTATTCATTTGACAAGGACTTCTGCATTTCTTTGAGGTTTGGGGAAGATATTTTAATCATAAGCTATTCTAGTCAAGACTAACATTCTGTAAAATCGGATGAAAAATAGCAAAGTTCGTGCCTGAGAAGGGACTTAAGTGAATTAGGATATTAATATATTGATGCTTAAAGCAATTTTATTCATCATTAAATATATTTTTCGAAGATCTTTTCTACAATTATACTTTATTTTAATTAAACTATTATTTAAAGACTAACAGAAATATCTATTAATTTTTATACATACCTCTTATGAATGTATTCAAACAGGAAAATATTAGAACTTTGATGCAACTTATGGTCTGTATTCTTGATGAAATAGTTCAAAGAATTTTTACTATGAGTTCTAAGTTGTAATTTTTTCTATGCGACTGTTTTCAGTCGAAAATCATTATCAGAATTATGAAACTTTATAATCAAAAACATGACCTTTACCTTTGATTGATTATTAACGTTTTTTCTCTGTCGAACACATTTTACAGACGTCAGAATAATTTATTGAAGAAATGAAGATAAGCCATAAAACCTCTTGCAATTCTTTGAATTAGAATAGTTCGAAAAATCTATTGTCTTAAGGGGACCCACCCCCCCTCAGGAATGAAGTCCCACTTGGGACCCTTCATTCGGGCTGAAACTTTCAGGGATGATTGATCTTAGTGAAAAACTCTTGTGATAAAAATTTTAGCTTGACATGTTCTACTAAATCGCAATTTCGGATGCTTTTCCTACCTTTCAGGAGAATCGAAATCACTCGGTCCAGAGAAGGGATACAGAGATTGGACTGGTTTCAAATTGTGACTAGTTTCTTTACGCAACTTTTCATCAGACGGAATTTTGAAACTCCTTTCCATTCATTTTTTACGAGCACTTTTGTAAACATGCTTGCAAAATAAGCCTAAAAAAGTGTAATTCTACCACAGTAAATGACACTTTTCTCAGACCTGGAATTCAATATCAAAAATCCGTCTGATGAAAATTTAGCTCTAATCAAGACTTTCAAAACCAAAAAATAATCATGGGTCATATGCCAAGCCGAGTAGGAGTGGTTCTAATTTCCCTGTCTAGAAACCGTAAATTGAGAAAATTGTTAAAAACATTATAGAAATCAATTTTTTCTTAAGGCCCCTCAAAAATCGATTTCAGTTCAGAAACGTTGAATCGATGTGAAATTTTGAGGATATGTTGGGGACATCAATGGAAGTCTATGATACAATTTTCAGCTCAAAGCTATTTCATTTAAAAGAGATATTCACCAAATAAGGTAGAAAAATAACTAATTTAGCAACCCGAATTTCTTTCTAACGGTTCGTCGAATAAATTAAAATTTTTTTTTCGTTGGAAGGAGCATGTAAAGATGCAGGGCAGTATGTCACCTTTTTTTTTGAAATATCTCATTTTTTATCGGAAAAACGAAGTTACAAACTCAAAGACGAAAAAATTTATCAAAAACTGGTAGTGAAATTATATTATTGACTTTATATTCACTAAAGAAAATGGGTATTTCAAAAAAACGGCGACGTACTGCCCTGCGTCTTGACATGCTCTTTCCAACGAAAAAATAATAATAATCTATCGGACGAACCATGAGAGGAAAATTTGGGATGCCCGTAGGAGAAAGCGAAAAATGAGAAAAAAACAAAAAAGATTTTTGGAAATTTGAAAAAACCGTTGATTTTTGAAAAACTGGTTCTCTGAAATTGTGAAATATTTCGGGAAAAAATGGAGGTTTGAAGAAAATTTTTTATTAATTTTGAAAGAGCAGACGACGGGCTATTTTTCTATGTATTTATCTCAATTTTGACAGTTCTCACGAAAATTGACTTTTTTTGAGGGAGGAAGCTTAAGCTTAATGCGATAAGTCATTGAAAATCTGATCATTTTTCAAAAATTTATATATATTCTGAAAGAGGAAGCTTCACTGCATCATCCTGTAATAAAAACTCAACTTCAATATTTCTTCGAAAAAGTCGATTTTCTGAGGAGGGGGGGTCCCCTTAAATACTTGTTGCAACCATCAATTCTTTTTTTTTAAACACTTCTGTTTTTATTGATATGAGCACACCACATGCACTTTGCATAGTGGATTATATTAAATTTGAGATTGAGAAAACTTACAAGCCATATTCCTTTTTCATCTATAAACTCTAGATCATTCAATCATAGCTATTTAAGTTTGTGCATAATTCAAAAGTGATTTAATCCATATTCGTGATTGGAGTTATTGATTCAAATTATAAACATCTATATATTAATCTTCGATATAAAAAGTGTGTTAAACAAAACGAAAAATTTTTTCGTTTCTGTCTATCGCAGAATAAAGGATCTCATATGATAAAAATGAAATTATCATTTTATACGATACTATGTGTAAAATGTTTTGTATCTAAGGTCATTCCTTCAAAAATGGATGTCAATCGAGGAATATTTGAATTATACGAAACTCATAATATCTGGGAGCTAATGAACCATGATGATAGTCAAATCTTCAGGCCTATATCAAGACTTTTCAATGAGGCATTCACTAATCACAGGATAAAACTAGTTCTATCGTAGCACCAGTAGGATTCTAGTATAGTTTCAAAAATGAAAATAACTATTTTAGATTATCTTATACTATGATAAAGTTCGGCTGGTACTATCTAGTTCAACTCACACTCCGAGAAAAACAAAAATTTACTTTTTATTTTCTTCAAAAACAGCTTGTCTTCTGAAATAGGAGTGAGAAAAATCTTCAATAACTTTTGAAAAAAGAGAGGTACCAAATAAAAATTTTTATCACACATGAAAGAACAGATGATAGATTGCTATCTCATGGAATTATCTCAGTGTAAACGATTCTCACCAAAAAATGACTTTTTTTTGATAAGATCTAAAACTAAGAAAACATTTCGACTGCAAATCGCTTGAAATACATCAGTCTAATACAGATACTCATATGTACTCGATAAGTCTCAATATTTATTCCTAATAGATTTAACCAGTCTTTTTTTCTAGAATGGCAAATTACTGGTAATATGAATTTTGCACGAACAGGGCATACAGCATCCGTATTGACGAATGGAAAAGTTTTAGTTACTGGTGGACAATATAATGGTTCTTCTCTAAATAGTGCAGAATTGTATGATTCATCAACAGGAATTTGGACAACGACTAATAGTATGAATTCTGCACGAAAATGGCATACAGCATCCGTATTAACGAATGGAAAAGTATTAGTTACTGGTGGATCTAACGATTATTCTTTTCTAAATAGCGCTGAACTGTATGATCCATCAACAGGAATTTGGACAACAAGTGGTAGTATGAATTTTAAACGCTGGGCACATACAGCAACCGTATTAACAAATGGAAAAGTATTAGTTGTTGGTGGATCGCCTAGTCCAGAGACTGCTGAATTATATAATCCATTAACTAAAATTTGGGAAATGACTGGTGACATGAATCTTGAACGAATTTTTCACACAGCGTCAATATTAACAGACGGAAAAGTATTAGTTGTTGGTGGAAGATTGGAGTCAGTGGATGAAACTAATACTGCTGAATTGTATGATCCATCAACAGGAAATTGGACAATGACTAGTTCTATGAATTATGAACGAAAATGTCATGCGGTATCAGTACTAATAAATGGAGAAGTTTTAGTTACTGGTGGAGAAAATAATATTTCTTTGCTAAATAGTGCTGAACTGTATAATCCATTAACAAAAAATTGGATATTGATTAATTCTATGAATCAGCAACGGGCTTATCACACAGCAACCGTACTAAAGAATGGAAATGTGTTAGTTGCTGGTCATTCGCTTAATATTGCTGAATTGTATGATCCATCAGCAAAAACTTGGATATCAACTAGTCCTATGAATAGTAGACGAGGTTCTCCCACAGCATCCCTACTAACAGATGGAAGAGTATTAGTTGCAGGTGGATCCTGGTTTCTTTTTTCTCTCAACAGTGCAGAATTGTTTTATCCTAATGTAACAAATGTATGAATAAAAATTAATTTTAATACACGAATACATACTACTCAATAACCAGAAATAATTCGAGAGTATGGTGTGGACGCTAGAGTAAAGAAGACTTTCATACACAAACTCTGATAAAATGGAATATAGATGTGACAGAAACAGTGATCGTTACTGGGAATAATCATGAAGGAAGTTATTTGGAATAACTCTGTTGACCGAAAGAACTGTCCATTGTTACTTCGAGTATTATCTTCATGTCAGATGAAAGGAATCCTTGAGTGATGGATCGATCTATAAGAGCAAAACACAGTATGGTTATTGTGGATGAAACCCGTAAAGAGAGAGATACATGTCGGTCGAATTCACTTAGAAGTTTCCTTCAATCGAAATATTAGTCCCTATGTAATGCTTTGTTAAAATCATCGAATTCAAGTTTGCTTTAATCCAATCGAGTCATTAGAATAGTTAATTCTCATTGTTTTATTTTTCCTTCGCCTAAATAACCTTCTATTAATGAAATAATTAGCTATTCTATTAACATAAAGGGAACACACTCATATCATTTGTATCGAAATATATCTGACAGTGTAGCAAAAGTTCAGTCAAATACTATAGAAATTAAGATAGCTTATCATTGAGCTTTTAAGAACTATTCAACGGTATAAATATTTATCTTTATGCGTTTATATGCTTATCTATGTTTATTCTACACTCACAGGAAATATTGATCTGTTTTGTGCATGAGAATCATAGTATATTTGACTTTTTGAACGGCATTTTTGTAAACCCCTACTCTTAGCATTATATAAACTCCAAAAGTGTATGAAGCATAGCCTGGCAGAAGGAATATAAAACATGGATTGAAGTACGATCTTGATGCATGTAAGTTACCTTCACACTGACATCGGCATCTTAATCCATACATCCACACTCTTTTCAATAATTGCATAAGAATTTATGTGTGCATCAACTTAAAATTCTTTAATTAGTTGTGAAATATGTAGATCATTTCGTTTTTCTATTCAAAATAGAACATGAATGAAAAATATTAGATGTTGCATCTCGTTGTATTTTCAAATCAGTAAGTTAGCTTAAGCCATCGCTCCTTCTCCCCCCCCCCCCCCCCGCCAAAAATCGATCTCAGTTCCCGAACATCAACACC